TTGTAGTGTGTTAACAGGATAATGGTAGCGATGTGCAGTATCTCTCTGTTGCATTCTGACTGCAATTTCTTTCCTCAGCACACAACATAAACCCCTTTAAACATTTAAATATATATACTTTCAGCAGAAAGGTTGCAAAATGTTATCAACATCCCAGAAATCAATGACCTCGCTCATTCATATGCTCATTACATTTGTTTTGAGTTTGCAAATCGTACAACTCTACAGTAAATAAATGAGGTTTCTATGGAATAACGGCTGTGTGGAACAAAAGGTCACAGTTTAATTTTCATTATTAGTTCAGAGAGTGCTCTCTGAAATGGGAAAATAAAAATAAATAAAGGTAGACTTGAGGCTGATGTAACATTATAGTTTGTTGTTGGATTAGTCAGTTAAAGACCTACATTAATATTTCCAACAACATGCACTCAAATTCTACCAAGGTAGGTTGAGAATTTGAATTCAGATGAAAACAAAATCAGAAAATAAGAAAATAGCAACAAAAACAATGAGGAGGCAGTTGTTGGATTATTGTATAAACTACAATAGGTTTAATAATGTCCTATAGAGAAGATATATGCCATCATTACCCTGTCTGGTTTATACATGAGTCCAGCCTGTACCAAGCTGATTATCCATTAACTACCTCATGAAGGTAGACTAACAAATACGTGGTTGTATTAAACTGCTCAAAGAAAAACAAAAATAAAATGGATCAGGAAACTTGGCTACACCTAATCAGGACACAGCAAATGTACATCTAGTTCAACTGCTCATGCAAAGAACTCCTCAAGAATGTCTGAGGACTGGTGCCAAAGTTGGGACAGCTGTCACACAGACTTGTGAAACAAGAGCCAAACACAATCACGCTCACACTACACTATTGGACGTATTTATGAATTAGATTTCTTCATCAACATTCTGGGGTGTGTTATGACCCAGCTCAGCATTGACCCTGGATCCCAAAAAGTCTCATTGCTTCTTCAGATTAAAGTTAGTCGAGGAAATCTTTTTACACCAACAATAACAACAGAAATTGCAGGAAAAGCTCAGCAGGTCTGGCAGCATCTGTGGAGAGGAATAAGAGTTAATGTTTCGGGCCTAGTGACCCTAGAACTGATGGTAGCTAAGAAAATGTTGGTTTATATATAGAAGGAAGTGTGGAGAGGAGGGGGTAAGGAGTAAACAATGCATGGGGATAGAAATTTTCTTACAGTTGCTACTTACTGGCTTCCCTCATCTAATATTCCTCCATGTTAAAAAAAAATTGGACAGTAAGCATGTAATGTACTTTGATTAGAGACCCACAATGTCCCTTAAACAGAGTAGTGTGTATGTGACAACATTGACCAAGTGCTGAAGGACATAATTTCTCGACTAGACTTGTAGCAAGGTGTGAGCAAGTAAATAATTAGTAGTAACCAACCTGTCTATGTCTGCACCAGTCCAGTGATTTCACACATCTCTGTTCATGACATATTAGTTGGAGTGACCACTGCACACTTTCGGGATGTGTTGTTTCTGTGCTAATTTTGTTTTCTGTAACTGCAGTCGCTGAGTTGTGGACACCCTGACAAAAAAATAGCATAAATGGCAATCACACAGTTTTCCTGGAGCTTCCATGGCTCTTCTGTAGGAGTGTGGAAATATTTAAACTTTAAGGGTAGGTTTTGTTTCAAAAGATGCCCTTTAAATGATGAATGGTTTTGACAGTGAAGACATAGAGAAAATGTACCCATTTATCAGGGATCCCAAAACTGGGTTCATAAATTTGAGATAGCCACTAATAAATCCAGCAAGGAAATCAGGAAAAAATGCACTTCTCAAAATGGTAAGAATCTAGAATGTGAGCATCTAGGATTTACAACCAAATAGAGTGGTTGAGACAGTGGCATGGATGCATTTAAATTGACATGAGAGAGAAAGGAGTCAAAGAATAAGTTAATAGGGGTAGAATGGGCACACATTCGAATAGAATATACAATGGACCAAAGGACCCATTTCTGTGTAAGATAATGCATTTAAAATAGTTAAAACAAAAAAAAGGAATCCAACTTTGTCAATCCCAACATTTTTTAAAATAAAACATGAAATAAGTAAATCATTACTTCTTGTTTGTAGGCCAGTGGCTTTGAACTCAGGACCAGGTGACTGATAGAATTTTGTGCTCTGATTTATACTTGGCAGTATGAGAACCTATGCTAGCTGAGAGGTTTTGTCCCGTACTGATGGTTGGACACTGAGAGGTTCATACTGTGCTAGGATCTTGCAAACTGTAACAAACTATCAAAATGTTATGCAACTAGAAATCTCATGAATCAAAGCTAATTCCCTTCATTACAACTGTCTGTGTAGAGTTTGCACATTCTCTTAGTGTCCGTGTGGGTTTCCTCCGGGTGCTCTGGTTTCCTCCACAGTCCAAAGATGTGCTGGTTAGGGTGGATTGACCATGCTAAATTACCCATAGTGTTCAGGGATGTGCAGGTTAGGTAGATTAGCCATGGGAAATGCAGGGTTACAGGGATAGGGTAGGGGCATGCGCCTGGATGGAATACTGTTTGGAGGGTCGGTGCAGACTCAATGGGCTGAATGGCCTGCTTTCACACTGTAAGGATTCTATGATTTTATGTGAACTTAGTGGTTATTAACAGCCAATCAGTGCTGATATAAGGTGCTTGACAGTGTGGGTTCAATTCCTGCACTGGCTGAGGTTAATTATGGAAGACTCTCTTTCTCAATCTCTCCACTGGCCAGAGGTGTGGTGACCCTCAGGTTAAACCACCAACCATCATCTATCCTCAATGAGACAGCAGCCCTAAGATCTTCTGGGACTATGGCGACTTTACCTTTATATAAGGTAGCTCGCAAAACCAGAAGTGTGATGTAGACAGTGTGATTTCTATATTTTTGCAATATTATTTATTTTAAGTTTGAATTTTGAGTGAGTGACTTATGGGTGTTTCCTATGTGTCTGATGAGTTAATATTTAATTTGGCATTTTTGTAGCCATAATGATGTGTTTTAACATAGTTTGAGAAAATGGCTTTCAGAACTAATGGGTTTTTATTTACATTAGGAGGGCTCACAACCAAGAAAGGTAAATCATTATGCATCAAGGTTTTTGTTGGAAAATTCTAGAATTTTTTAAACTTAAGAGAAAAAACTTGGGGGGAAGGTTTTTTCCTTTTTAATTTTTAGATGGATATATAAAGCTGTGGTCTGAGAGAAGATAGCAAAACTATATTTCTTTGAAGTAAAGAGTTTAGCGATTGTCTCAGACCAGAAGTGTTTGGATAGAACTCTGAAGAGGTTACTTAAAACAGACAACATTTAAACTCAGTTGCATGCCAGCTCCAGGAAAAGGGCTGTCAGATTTTCAAGACTGGGAACTCAAATCACAGTAACTTAAGCCATTAGAGGTGTTAGACAGTTTTTTTCTCTCTCTCTGTTGTGAGCACTGTACAAGCGTGCTTTTCGGTACTGTTAAGGGTTATTTTGGGATCTGTAAAAGTGTGTTTTGGAAAATTAATGGCTTATATTTCTCCCATATGTTTCAAAATCTTTAAATGTGTAATTACATGTAAATAGTTTTGCTTATTCCACATTATCTTTGTTTCCCTGACTTAATCAACTTTGCATGCTTATGTTTCAGTGAGTCCAGTCACTGGACTTGAAATGTTAACTCTGTTTTCTTCCCACAGGTGCGGCCAGACCTGGTGAATTTCTCCAGCAATTTCTGATTTTGTTTCAGATTTCTAGCATCTGCAGTTCTTGTTTTATTTGAACTCTTTATGGAATTGCAATGATATGTGATTTGAATCTGAATTATGAACGCAGTCTCACTTATACATTAAGTACAACGTACAAACTGTACCTGTCAAAGCCAGTTTGACACCCAAATATTCGATGTAGAAGCCTAAATGTTGGATCATTTTTCAAGTCACTAGGCAGTCTCCTAAGTCTACAAAATAGTGGACTGGAAACATACACACGTTTTCAACAGAAAATGAACTTGTGCCATGTCCGTGAAGAATAGACAAATTATATCCTTTATCCAAAACAATCACAACACTTGATTTTTTAAAATTATTCTTTCATCAGTAGGATTTACAGGGCCACCATTTGTTACCCATCCCATGAACAGAGCGGTTTACTGAGCCATTGCAGAAGGCAGTTAAGGGTTAACCTCACCACCAACATTGTGAATAATTAATCCTGTTTAACCAGTTTTCTAATGTTCAAAAATAGTCCCACAATGACCCAACAACAGTAGTCTATATTACAAAGGATTTGCATATCAAACTGCTTTGTCATTATGAATGCAGAGTATTCAGCTGCTTCTATTCTGATCTCAGCTTATGTTTTTCCTGGATAAGATAGATCCCAGACTGAAATCTGATTTAGGCAATAACATTTTGTTTTGTTTTGGTTTTATGATTTAGCTCAGTTGGCTGAACAGCTATTTTGTGATACAGTGATGCCAACAGTGAGGGTTCGGTTCCCGCACAAGCTGAGGGGACCACGAAGGACTCTCCTTCTCATCGTCTCCCCTTGCCTGAGGCATGGTGACCCACGGGTTAAACCACCACCAGTCATCTTTCTCCAATTGAGAGAGCAGTTCCATGGTCTGAAAGGACTATGGAAACTTTACCTTACACTAAAACTTGCCATTAACCATCCTGTCATGTGCCATGAGTATAGTCATCCCGACTCCAAGCTGCTACCGAGATAAGTCACTGACTTTATCCAACATTAAGAAGTTTAAAATTGCCTTCCTGCCCCACTCAGCATCCAATCCACCTCATGACCAACTAGCATTGAATCCTGCCCACTGTCAATGTTTGTACGTGATGAGTGGTCACTCAGACATTAGCACCTTCAAGAGATGACACGGTAAACTGAAAAGTAAAAACAAATGCTAACGTTATCTTCCCATTATTATTGAGAGGATTCCATTTAGTCAGTTACCCAGCTTTAAACTTTTAACATTCTTTTCACAGCTGCTGGCCAATTATCATAAGTGGAGAGCAGAGTGCCCTGAGATCTGTGCAGATCTGAGGCCTTTAACAGTCATGGGCCTCCTGAAGGTCGGTTACCATGGCGTTTTAAGGTCTCGTGATTCCAGTGGAAGCAGGGTTTTAATATACAAAATTGGTGAGTATTGCATCTTCCAGGTCTTACACTCAGTTTGATTGGCTAATTCAAGCATTTATTAACAGAATAAACCATTAAGCTGTTGATTCGTGTAACTCCCTGAATATCAATGGTTCATTGATCTGTTTGAACAATTATAGTTGTGACATACACTACATTTGTTTGTGAGGGATGTTCAAATATATTCACTTGGTGTACAGAGACATCCCTTAATTGAGAGAAAAGCCTAAGTGTACAAATCACATTTATGATTCCTGATCAAGGTGGGGCTAATAGTGCAACATCTTGATGACATTCAGTGTCATCATGGTAACAGTATTGCAACATAAGAGAATGAGCATTCTCTCACAAAATATGCCATTTCTAAACTAGTAACATTGCTCAAAGCCGTGTGGAAATATTCCAATTTCACTTTCTGATGTTAATAGAATTTGTTTTGTTATACCAATTGAAAAGTACTGCACTGATGTGGTAATCATTTGGCACATTGTTAATGAGCTCTTTCGATACATGGTAAAGATGGGAGATGAAAAAGGAATCAATTATAAGAAAGGTTAGGACTATGCAACACAAACCCCATGATTTCATCATCCTATGAAGCTTCAAAATATGATCTGTGACTCTATTAAGAAGTTTTTAGGTCAACAGGGAGGTTCGACATCATGGTTACAACTTCAGAAACAAAAACAGAAGTTGCTGGAAAAGTTCAGCAGGTCTGGCAGCATCTGTGAAGAGAAATCAGAGTTAAGGTTTTGGGTGCAGTGACCCTTCCTTAGAACTCAGAAGTTCTGGAACCAAAACGTTAACTCTGCTTTCTTCCCACAGATGCTGCCAGACCTGCTGAGCTTTTCCAGCAATTTCTGTTTTTGTTTCTGATTCACAGCATCTGAAGTTCTTTCAACTTTTATGGTTACAATTTGCATGTCCATCTCTTTTGCTATTAACATAAGACTTCGGAACACAACAATGGCATTGCTGTTTTTCAACATTGAATATCACCTGTAATTATTTCATGTTACATTGGTTTCACTTTATTCTTGTGTGCATCGTCATTAATTGTTGAGACTAGCTTGGTCAGAGAGTTAAAGGCATACCTTAGTGTTGGTGCATTTGATGATTATAGGGGAGTTGGGGTCATTTCCTTTATCATGGAAGAAACAGTATTGTGGTTTCTCTATTCAATCTTTATTGAATGTTTCCATTTGTTTCCAGTCTTCTACTCACCATTCTCTACAATGTGGCTCAATAGTTAATTGTTGAAATGTTGTAAATGAACATCCTGCAAGGGTACTGCCTGAGATGGATGCACATTTGGGCATTACTATCATCCTTTTTGGCTCCTCATTTTCTTATCTTAACTAACTGTCCTCACCAACAGGCAAGCCAAGATATCAGGCTTTTCCCACTTCTCTCCTACATTTCCCTGACCACACCCTTTGCACTCTCCTGGGCCATTCTCTCACCCTCTGCACAGTCAACCTCATTCCACAATCCATGTCACCATTTAGTCTCCTTTGTCAGCACCAAGCCTCCATGCAAGAGCACGTTCCGCTGCTCCCCCTCGTATCATTGAGTTAAACAAGGGAAACCTAACAAATGAAAACTGAAAGAACTACGGATGCTGTAAATCAAGAACAAAAACAGAAGTTTCTGGAAAAGCTCAGCAGGTCTGGCAACATCTGAGAAGAAAAAATCAGAGTAACCGTTTCAGGTCCAGTGACTCTTCCATTAACGCTGATTTTTTCTTCACAGATGCTGCCAGACCTGCTGAGCTTTTCCAGCAACTTCTGTTTTAAACCTAAAATGCATGCCCCTTCAAATGATCATGAGCCTGGTGCCATGAGATTGTGATAAACCATCATCTTTATCTTGGAAAGTTGGACTTTCATTCATGTGAAATAGTTTTCAGTAGGTATTCATGCAATGAAATGTTTTAAAAACTGGAATCTGACATAATCCAGCATAACGATATCACACACTCCTAACTTTCTCACTGTGTCCTAACTCATCATCAGCAAATCACATTCTGCCTAATTAGGTTTCCATGTTTCCCATCTGATGGGCTCCACATAAAAGCTCTTCTAGCTTTGTAGATTCTGGTGAGGACAGGCAATGGTTCAACTCTAATGCAAAGCAACATGCTGAAATTCACTTTGCTTTATTTATTCGCTCATGGCACCTGGGCATCACTGGCTGGGTCCAATGTTTATTGCCCATACCCAATTGCCTTTGAGAAGGTGGTGGTGAGCTGCCTACCAGAACTGTTGCAGTCCATGTTGACCCACAGTGCCTTTAGGGAGGTAATTCCAGGATTTTGACCCAGTGACCACTAAAGGAAGAGCAACATATTTCCAAGTCAGGATGGTGAGTGGTCGGAGGGAACTTCCAGGTGGTGGTGATGATGAAACTCCTTTAGGTGAGATACTGTATTCTGAAGCATACTCTCTTCAGAGTCAATACATTTAGAAGAGCGAAAAAAAAAATCCAAAGTAAACATTTACTTTGGAATACTATTTGCATTGGATTGACATATCATATACTACAGTTTCCAATGTATCATACATGGCATATAAATCGTCTTGATGGTACATGTTTGAAGCTTACAAGATCTGGAGGTTTCTTGACAGGGTAGATGTGGATGGAATGTTTCTTCTTGGAGAAGAACTTAGAATATAGGGTGACTGTTGAAAAATATGGGGTTGCCCATTTAGGACAGAAATGAGGTGAATTCCTTTCTATCAGAGGGTTAAGAATGTTGGAAATCTTTTCCACAAAAGCCAGTAGCATCATTGAATCTTTTGAAGGCAGAGAAAGGTGGTTACTCATTAGGTTAAGGAATCAAGGGATAGAGGGGTAGATGGGAATGTGGGGTTTGGAACACAGATTGATCAGCCATGATCTTATTCAATGGCAGAGCAGGCTTGAAGGGCCAGAGGGCTCAACAGTAACCTGCTCACTGGCACTCAGTTTGGGTTCCAGCATACTCCCTCAACCCCTTTGTCCAAAATTGGACAAAAGAGCTTAAATCAAAAGGAAGTGAGAGTAACTGCCCTTGACATTGAGGCATCATATGATTGAGTATGGCATTAAGGAGTATGAGCAAAACTGAAGTTAACAGGGATCAGGGAAAACTCTCCACTAGTGACTCATACCTAGGACAAAATAAGATGATTGAGATTGTTGGAGGTCAGTCATTGCAGCCGCAGGACATCTCTACAGGAGTTCATGTGAGTAGTGTCCAAGACTTAACCATCTTCAGCTGCTCCATCAGTGACCTTCCTTCCTTCCATCACGAGGTTAAGGGGTATTTCATTGATAACTGTGTAATGTTCAGTACCTTTCATGACATTGGATATTGAAGTAGTCCATCTGCAGCAACACAACAACTTGTGCCGCACAAATACCATGCAATCATCATCTCCAACAAAAGAGAATTCAACCGTCACTCTTTGGCATTCAATCATCATCATAGAATCTCTACAGTGTGGAAACAGGCCATTTGACCCAACAAGTCCACATCTACTCTCCAGACGGCATTCCAGCCTGACACATTTGCCCTGCCCTAACCCTGTAACCGTGCATTCCCCATAGCCAACACACCTAACCTACACATCCCTGGATACTATGGGCAATTTAGCATGGGCAATCCATCTAACATGCACATCTTTGGACAGTGGGAAGCAATTGGAGTACCTGGCAGAAACCTATGCAGATACGGGGAGAATGTGCAAACTCCACACTGACAGTCGCCTGAAGGTGGAATCAGACCCAGGTCCCTGGCGCTGTGAGGCAGCAGTGCTAACCACTGAGCCACCGTGCCGCCCCAATCAACGTCCTGGTAGTCAACATTGATCTGAAAATTGACTGGATTAGCCATATAAATACTATGACTAATCAAACAGATCAGAAGTTAGGAATGCTTCAGCAAGCACCTCACCTAGATCCTCAAAGCCTGTCCTCTATCTACATGGCACAACTCAGAAGTGTGACGGAATGTTCTCCATTTGCCTGAATGAATGCAGCTTCAACAACAGTCTCAAGAATCTCAAAACTATCCAAGACAAAGCAACCTATTTGATTAGCATCTAACACTTTCAAACTCACTGTGACTATCACCATTGCACACTGGTGGAAATGTGTACCATCTACAAGGTGCACACCAACAAAAGTCACCTTCCAAACCCATGACCGCTGATGAATGAATCCACATCACCCATTAGTTCCACTCCAAGCCACACACCATTAACAATCTAATCAAACAGAGTCAGCATGGCTTCATGAAAGAAGCCATGAAAGGGAAATCGTGTCTGACTAATTTATTAGAGTTTTTCAATTTATTAGTGTTCTGCAAGTCTCAGCCAGAGTGGATAGAGGGGAAGCAGTAGATGTGCTGTATTTGGACCTCCAGAGGGCGTTCGACAAGGTACTTCACAAGAGGTTAAGTCATAAAAGCCCACCGTGTTGGAGGGAGTATACTGGCACAGATGGAGAATTGGCTTATGGGCAGTGTATAATAAATGCAGACAAGGGGTTCTTTCTCAGGTTGACGAACTGTAACCAGTGGGGTTCCTCTGGGATCAGTACTGGGACCACAACTGTTTACAATATATGTATTAGTGACTTGGAGGAAAGAAGTGAATGCACTGTAGCCGAATTTTCAGACAACACTTAAATAGTGGAAATGCAAATTGTGAGAGTTTTACAAACAGTAAAAACAGAGATAATCAGGAAGGCAAATGGAATGTTGACCCTTGTTTCAAGGAGGTTGGAATATAAGAGTAGGGAAGTCTTACTGCAACTGTACATGGTGCTGGTGAGACCACATCTGGAGTATTGTGAGCAGTTTTGGTCCCTTATTTAAGGAAAGATACATTTCATTGAAGGCAATTCAGAGAAGGTTCACTCGGATGATCCCTGGTATGGAGGGATTGTCTAATGAGCAAAGGCTAGACAGGTTGGGATTCTACTGACGGGAGTTTAGAGAAATGAGGGGTGATCTTATTGAAATATATAGGATTGTTAAGGGGCTTGACAGGGTAGGTGCTGAGAGGATATTTCCCCTCATGGGAGAGTCAGGACCAGATGGCAAAGTCTCAGAATAAATGGGCACCAATTGAAGACCGAGATGAGGAGGAATTTCTTCTCTCAGAGGGTTGTGAGTCTTTGAAAGTCCTTGCCACAGAGAGCTGTGGGGACAGAGACCCTGTGTATAAGGCTGAGATAACCTCTTGATCAGTTGAGTAATCAAGGGTTACGGGGAAAGGGCAGGAAAGTGCACATGAGGAATAATGGATCAACTATGATTGTATTGAATGTCAGAGCTGGCTTGAGGGGCCAAATAGTCAACTGGTGTTCCTATTTCTTATGGTCTTAACAAATGGGGACCCCTCATCAGACATGGAAAAATACAGGATCTAGTTCACCATAACCTTCAGAGTCATCAGGAATTGCACATTTCCAATTTGTTAGGCAGTTGAATCTCTGAAGCATGGGATATATTGAGTAACCATTGGCCAACTCTGCAGCATCAGGTTGCATTATCTGGAAAACTAAAGGGAACAATAAATAGTTCAGGAGAGCAAAATAAACTGAGCTGTCATCTTCAAGGGCAGCAGAAAGAGTTGTAGAACACCAGAGGTAGTGAAATCTTGTTTGATTCATGAGCTGTGCACTAGGCAGACCAGAAGAAGGAAGATTGAAAAGGACAACATACAACAATGTTCGGGAGGCGATGGTCTAATGGTATTATCACTGGACTGTTAATCCAGAGACCCTGGTAACATTCTGGGGAACCTGGGTTCAAATCCTGCCACGGCAGATGGTGGAATTTGAATTCAATAAATATCTGGAATTAAGACTGTAATGATGACCATTGCCGATTGTCAGGAAAAACCCATCTGGTTCACTAATGTCCTTTAGGGAAGGAAGCTCCCATCCTTACCTGGTTTGGCCTACATGTGACTCCAGACCCACAGCAATGTAATTGACTCTCAACTGCCCTCTGGGCAATTAGGGATGGACAATAAATGCTGCCTGGTCAGAGACACCCTCATCCTGTGAATGAATAAAGAATACTGGCTGGTGCTCAATGGAATTGTTTATAGTTTTGGCAGTTTGCAACCAATTGTAGAACAGTAGATAGCAAATACCAAAAAAAATCAATGTCTATGTGGTGAGAGTAAATGAAGCTGTGGGTAAGATTTATAATATGACCATGGTGGAGATGCTGTTTGGAGTAATAACATTGAAAATTAAGTTAATTGAACTATATTGTGATCAGGTATTATCAGGGGAGTGTTATGACATGAAGACAGGCAGTGAAACAAAACCAGCATTTCTATCTCTGTATTCACTACACAGTAAATTTAAAACCTTCAAAGATCCTCAAAATTGACCCCAATTGTTCCTAAACAGACTTTTGAACAAGTCCCAGACTCTGCGAATAATCAATTACAGACACCAGTTGTATCTTAAACAAAAGACTTAGCAATTTATTAGCAATGTAGGAACTGCAGCAGAGTAAAATTAAACAAAAAATTAATCTAATTGGTCCATGCTTTAACCCCAAAAACCTTTGTTTTCAGCCCCATTCACACAAAAAAAAGGGCAGACAGACATATTTAAGGGGTTAAGAAAAGAAAATAATGAAACTGGCCAGATTATATCAGTGGCTTACTGATGGGTTGTTTCACAGACATAGGCGATTTTATTTTTTTTACAGTTCACTCAGATAAAGGCAGTATTACTTATGATTTAGTTTTCTAGTCTCTGAACTTCTAAAAGCTGATGAGGGAGGTTAGGCAGGGAGCTTTCAAATTGTCTTACTATAGCATCAGTAGCCAGATTCCATCCTTGTCACAGAAAACAGTTCAAAACTCAATTCAAACTCCAGCCCCTCCCTGACAGACTGACCATCTCCTATATGCTGTCCCAGTTACCATTCAATATCTGGCTTGAGCATAACGTCTCTTCCAGACTTGCTAGAACCAATTTCCCAGATACTGATCTCATTAATAGCCAACTTCTGCTCTCTGTTTAAACGCAATGCTCTTCCCCAGTGGCTGTGGAACCTTTTGATCAAGATCCAACCTGCAATTAACTTCCAGGCCTGACCTCATGAATTAAATAAAATCTTGTTTGGTCTGTTTTCCTTTTACTGCAAATTTATTCACAGTCCAAAAGTCATCTTTCGCATGCAGTTTCCAATTTACAGCTCAAAACCAAAAAGAATAAAATTAAAAAAAATGAAAAATCAGTGAGGGCTCCAATAGGAGAAACTGAAAGAAAAGATAATGAGATTGAAATCACTACCAAAAGGGACGAGGACATCAAAAAGTTAAACGAGAAAATCACAAAGATGAACAAAGTGAACTGTTCCTGACATATGAGGTCAGTATTTAAGAGCGTGTGAATGTACAAAGCATTACAACCAAAATCAGCAATAAAAGCAAAAAGTGCTGGAGAAACTCAGTAGATCTGGCAGTATCTATGGAGATAGAAACATATTTATCATATTGAATTCAATAACTTCTTCAGAACTGAAGGGGGCTGAAAATTGTTTTTTAATGCTGTTGACAGAGCTTGACAAAAAGCAAGTGGAACAGATAGTGAGGGTACCCACAGCAAACAATAAAGGAAATGCCAATGGCTGTAAAGGAGTGATATAGATGAAAACTAGGTGTTAATGATAGGTGTGAATAGCGAAAATAAGATCGGCTTGGTTGAGAGCAAGATCGTGAAAACAAGACATGGAGTGGGGTGGAGGAGATGTTGTCAAAATGAGGGACAGCATTCATTTTCTGAAGTTGTCGAACTCAATGTTTGAGTCCTGAAGGCTGTGAAGTGCCTAAGCAAGAAATGAGGTGCTACTCCTTCAGTTTGTATTGGCCTTTGCTGGAAAACTGCAGCAGGTCCGTGACAGAAGTGTTACCATGGGAACAAGGTGATTTATTGAAATGACATGCAATAGGAAGGTCAGGGTCATTCTTACAAACAGAGCAGAGGTGCTCCACAAAACAGACACTGGATTTGTGTTTGGTCTCACAAACGTAGAAGACACTGCATCACAAGCAGTGAACACCACAGACAGAAGAAATTGAAAAACAAGTAAAATGCTCCTTCTCCTGGAAGGTCTGTCTGGGGCCTTGGACAGCGAGAAGGAAGGAAGTAAAATGTATTATACCTTGTGTGATTGCATAGGAAAGTGCCAAGGGAAGGCGAGGAGATGGTAGGAGTGACAGAGGAGTGGACTAGGGTATCACAGAGGGAACAATACCTGTGGAAGGCTGATGAGAGAGGAGAGAACAATGTGTTTGGCGGTATTCTGCTGGAAGTGGCAGACATGATGGAAGGTGATCATTTGAATGCAGAGTACTGGTACGATGGAAGGTGAGGACAAGGGGAACTCTGATTTTTCTGGGAGGGAAGGCAAGCTATGGAGGGAAAATGTCTTGAGCAGATAAACTTAATGGCAATCCTGAAAACAACAGCTGGATGTTCGGTGAAGGAGTCATAGTTCAGGAAGATCTAGGAGGATGCATCTGAGAGTTAGTGCTCAGCCTCTGGCAGTACAGGTCTGTACACCAGACAGCAACAGCAGGATCCTTGTCAGCAGCTCTGATAACAAAGTCAGGGTTAAACCTGAGAAACCAGAGGAAGGAGACAGTTAAGATTAGTTGAGAGGAGAGAGGCATTAAGGTGACCAAACTCACACCAGTAGTTCTCAACAAAGAGATCTAGTGCAGATCAGAGATTAGACAGAGGGTCCCATGTGGAGGGAGATTACTGGAATTGGTTGAAAGGGTCAATGAGACAGGGAAGGACGGCTGACCAAAGCAGTGGACACAAAGACAAAAGTGACAGAAAAAAAGTTCATCGGCTTGTCAGAAATTCATTGAGATGAGGGTGTCAAGGCATAAAAGAGTCCTTTGCTGAGCAACAATCCTTCAGCATCAGAAAGTGATGGGTCAGAGGGTATAGTGACATGACACATGACAAGAGGTGAGATTGTAAGGAGAAGGGATGGAGAAACCAGAAATTCATCACTACCTGTGAGTTGTTGGTGTTTGTTTTCCTTAACAGTTGAAAGGAAGAGAAAAGATTTCTTGTTGAGGCATTGCATGAGATGAAAAATAAAATCAGTGTATTAGAAGACTTTATTATTATAGAGGACTATGATACGGTAGCTTTAATAGATGGGGCTTAGATTTAGACAGGACTGGAACATAATAAAAACCAAAAGAACAGTGGGTGCTGTAAATCAGGGACAAAAATTGAAATTGCTGGAAAAGCTTCGAGGAAGCGTCACTCAATCTGAAATGTTAACTCTGATTTCCTTCCACAGATGCTGCCAGACCTGCTGAACTTTTCCAACAATTCCTAATTTTGTCACTGGGAACTTAATATTTTTAGTTATAGTGTGTTCAGGTACAGCTTGTATAATTGCACCTGAAATCTGTATTAGTCCTGGAATATCCTACAAAAGCAGTCGAGAGACGGGAGAAGGGGAGAGAAATGTTTAATACTTGGTGGACCTTATGGGTCAGCAAAACTTGTTAGCGAAATGTGCAGACGTTTCAGAGAGAGATGTAAGAACATCACAGCTAATGTTCTCTAAATGCAACTGTCCCAAGTGAGTCTGGAATAAGGACAGTTGATGTTATTTTATTACTAATGTAAGTGTTTTTTTCTTCCAGAACACTGGGATCCCAAGCTTTTCACAGCCTACGAAGTGTTTCGTGTCAGTCTTATTACATCAGAACTAATTGTGAAGGAGGTGAAAACCCAACTGAATGGTGTGAAGGTTATTTTTGATCTTTGTGGCTGGCGATTTGCTCATGCTCTGCAGATCAGTCCAACTGTTGCCAAAAGAATTGCTGCTGTGGTTGTAGTAAGTTTCTTGCTTTTAACTCAACTTGAATTGAAATGCTGCTTTTAAAAAGCACAACAATATCAACATTCACTACTGGTAACCCAATGCTGCTGCACTAACTGACTTAGAGGGGAGTTGATGGCCTAGTGGTGTTATCACTGGACTGTTAATCCAGAGATGCAGATAATGTTCTGTGGTCCTGGGTTTGAATCCTGCCATGGCCGATGGTGGAATTTGAATTCAATAAAAGTATCTGGAATTAAGGATCTAATGATAACCATGAATCAATTGTCAGGGGAAAAACCCATCTGGTTCATCAATGTCCTTTAGGGAAGGAAATTGTCATCCTTACCCGGTCAAACTTCTTGAATGTTGTTGGAGCTGCACTCATCCAGGCAAATGGGGAGTATTCCATCACATTCCTCATTTGTGCCTTGTAGATGGTGGATAGGCTTTGAGGAGTCAGGAGGTGAGTTACTCACCACAGTATTCCCAGCTTCTGACCTGCTCTTGTAGCCACTGTGTTTATGTGGTGAGTCCAATCGAGTTTCTGGTCAATGATAACCCCCAGGATATTGATAGTGGGGGATTCAGTGATGGTAATACCATTGCTCATATGCAACCCAGCAGCAGAGACAGAGAGAGAATCTCTCTCTCTCATAGAATCCCTACTTATGGAAACAGGCCATTTGGCCCATACCCACCCTCCAAAGAGCATCCCACCCAGACCCAACCCACTATCCTATCCCTATTACCCTGCATTTCCCATGGCTAACTCACACAACCATGGACAATTTAGCATGGCCGATCCACCCTAGCCTACACACCTTTGGACTGTGGGAGGAAAGAGGAAACCCACACAGACACAGGAAGAATGTGCAAACACAGACCGTCACCAAAGGCTGGAATTGAACCTGGATCCCTGGTGCTATGAGGCAGCAGTGCTAACCACTGAGCCACAAAGCCACAGTATCAAGTTAAAAACTCAGAGACAGTAGCAGCCAGGAGACCTTTACTGCAGCTTACAACCTTATTGAGACTCCAATAGTAACATAATCTCAAAGCTAAAAAAACTAAAAATTAGAAATCCTGATCTGTGGGAGCTGGCCGCATCCATTCAGGCTGCCTTTATTATTTCAACTCTTAAAAAAAAAAGCCTCACAAGCTGTTTACTGGAATTCCAACTAGACAGCTCATAACGTCTGTCTTAAAACCTCTCTTTAACAAAAGCCACAGCATCGTCACATTAATCAACAGTAAATATTGTGGAAACTCTATTTACACTTAACTTACACTTCAGTTTCCGCAATGTTTTGCACAGGTGCTGCCAAGTTTACTCTGACTTTACTGATAAAGGTAGAAATGCCGGCTGAAGGTCTACCCCAACAACTTACAGGAGAATCATGGAATCACGGTGTACAGAAGAGTCCCTTCAGCCCATCAAGTCTGCACCAACAAAAACCTACTCCAAATCTCCACAGTCCCACTTTCCAGCATTACCCTTGAATGTTATGACCATATTTTTTAAAGGGTGTGAGGTTTCCCGCCTCAACTTCCCTCCCAGGCAGTGCACTCCAGATTCCCACCACCCTCTGGATGAAAATCTTTTTCTTCAAATCCTCTGTAAACCTCCTGCAGTGGGGTTTACAATTTTGCTCCCTTGTTATTGACCCTTCAACTAAGGGGAACAGCTGCTTTCTATTCACCCTGTCCATGCCCCTCATAATCTTATACACCTCCATCAACCTTCTCTCCTCCAAAGAATACAACCCAAGCTTATCCAGCCTCTCTTCATTGTTGAAAAGCTCCATCGTGGGCAACATCCTGGTGAATCTCTTCTGCACCCCCTCCTACAGTGTGGAGACTGAAACTGCACACAGTACTCCAGCTGTGACCTAACCAAAGTCCTGTACAGCTCCAACATAACATCTCTGCTCTTATAATCTTTTATCTTAATGGATCACATTGATTTCAGCTAAGCATTCTAGAAATAAATGAATAATTTTTAACACACTAGCCTAGAAATTGATTTGTGCCAGCCCGGAGTTAGGTCTCATGAACAAGACAAACTTGGAGAATGTATGAAGGGCCATAGGTGAGAAACTAGGGGAAATGATCCAGTTCCTATTAGCTTTAATTAAATCATGTGTTTCTGAACAAATGTTGATAGAACACTTATGGCTATGTACAAACTTATACATTCACAAGATAGCATTTGATTTAAATCTAAGCAGGCACCAACATGAAATATAATGTGTATCATTTTCTGTTATTTTCAGGATTCCTTTCCATTGAAGGTCCGAGGTATTCACATGATCAATGAGCCCGTACTGTTTGATTCAGTCTTTGTCTTAATTAAACCATTCCTGTCAGAAAAAATCAAACAGCGTGTGAGTACCCCTTCATTTTAATACAATTGGAGTGAAAAATAATTAGTTGAAACAGGAACACATTAGCCAGCTTTGCTTGAAATATATTTCAGCTAAATACAAAAGCTGACTTGGGAAAGTTGCTGTTGGCACTGAGTTCTCAGCATAAATGCAAAGAAAACTGCTGTTTCATTCTCCACCATTATCATTTAGATTAACAAAAAGTAGCAGATGTACAGCACTGCAGCAAGAAACCGTCAAGCGCACTGTATCATCTTTATTAGGTTTTAGATTTCAAGCACAAAAAAGTACACTTTTCAAAAGCGAGAAATTGAAGAGCATGTAACTTTAATTGACTGTGATGTGTCTATTTCAGATTCACATGCATGGAAGCAATTACCAGCACAGCCTTTGTAAGCACTTTCCAGCTCCGATTCTTCCCCCTGAATATGGTGGCCAAGGACCTGCTTATGAGGAGGTCTGTCAGGAATGGACCGAATTTGTCCTGCAGTCTGAGAAAGATCTTCTTGAACTTTCACTAGTTACTTGATACTTCATGCCAAAATGTCCACTGTTTGAACAGCACTACTGTACATCGCTTTTGTTAATTAATGTAATATAACTGCAAAGACTAACTATGTTTTATAGAACAAGCAGGTATCAAGTTATGCACTATGATGTAGTATAAGCAGAAATTAATTTTAAAAGCTATCAAATTTGAACAAAGTATTTGGTTTTTGATATTTCAGATTACAGTAAATTAAGCTTTTATTACTATGTATTTTGGTTTCTGAATGCATTGTCTTAAAGTTTAATACTTAAAGCTTTAGGAACAGATACCTTCTGCAGTGGTTCAACTAATTTGTTCACTCAGTTTTAATAGTTGCCCTTTTGAAATAGAATCCTTTACCGTGTGCTGAAAACATACCAAAAGCCTGTTGTAAGAGGCAAATACGTGCTGTATTTTTATTTGCCATTGCAATCGTTTTGGAAAGAAAAGTGCAAAAATCCATGACTTATATGCAACAAGAACAAAACAGTAAAATCTACAAGGCTCTTCTGTATCCTGGGGTCAGGGTTGTTGCGGGGGGGGGGGGTGGTGACATCAGGGGAGATCTAAGCTTTCCCTGTAGCATCGGGGGTACATGCCTGCCTGTTGTGACCTCACAAATGCAGTGTTCTTTAATAAAATTAAAAGCCTTTTTTTTGTCTCTCTCCTGTCCCCTCCTTGTCCCTGCCTCAATCCAGTTCTGTGCTGGGCTGGCTTGACATTAAAAGATACTTGTTATTTCCTGCTCAGGCCACCTAGCAAAGATTATTGTGAAGTTTTCAGGCTAACATTGGGTTGTGATTTTTAAAAGGACTCTGCCAGTTTTGGGAGGGTGCCTTTATCAATGGCTAACTGGAAGGTAGATTCTGCTGACTCTAAAACACATCAATGGCACCTGGCTTATTTTAATTGTTGACCAATCTGGATTCCACCAAGTCAGTAAGGTTAAATTTGTTGCAAAGTTTTTACATTAAGCCAGAAATAGTCTGACTGGATTGAAGTGAAAAATTGGAAAAATGACTTCAATAAAAAAAATTTATAAATTCCATATGTTGAATTTTCACTTGCTCTTTTAATACCAGCAAAATATTTGCACAGAAAGCTCACCCTTCCATTTACAAGCAGTGTCCTGAAGCTGTGGTTTACTATTTTAAACAATAAAACCAGCACAATTTTGTAGACAGCCTCAACGGAGCACCGTGACATAAATCAAACCACAAAAGCAACTTAATAAAATTTCAATTTGGTGGAGCATTGATGAATGAATGCTCTCTCCCATCTCAACCAAAAGGTGCAAACAATGACACATTCAGCAGATGGCCACCAGAGGGCTCTGCAGTGCAACAATTCAATCATTGAGTAATTTGAAATGGTGCAGTGACACTGAAGAGCTGCGCTGATCAAGAAGAAAGATTAAGAATTCAAGATTACATCAGGATAATCAAACCTTTTCACCTGGGGGTGCACGTTTTAATTTTTATTCCACTCGGTGGTGTTGTGATTGTGACAAAGTCAGCCAGATGGACCTCATAGAAACCGAAATAAACTGCGGATGCTGTAAATCAGGAACAAAAACAGAATTTGCTAGAAAAGCTCAGCAGGTCTGGCAGCATCTGTGAAGAAAAAAAATCAGAGTTAACGTTTCGGGGCCGGTCAATTCTGAGGAAGGGCTACCAGACCCGAAACGTTAAGTTTGATTTTATCTTCACAGATGCTGTGAAGATAGACCTGCTGAGCTTTTCCAGCACCTTCGGTTTTTGGACCTCATAGAATATGAGTTCCCTGATGGGGTTGTTAGTCTGGTCCAATCAGGGAGTCGTGGCTGACAGATATAAACAGGAGTGTCAGAGGTTCTGCTCACTCTGAGGGCTGGCTCAGAGGGAGCTGGATCAATGTCAAGAGCTTTCCAAGATGTGCACTATCCTGGATACCAGCCTATGAATTTCACTTACTTTGAGACCTGAGCTCTTACTCCCTCATGTCTCTGTGGTTACCTGTACTCAGTTGTAATACCATTACATCTGATTCCAGCTTCTCCATCTCAAACTGCAGGGTGAATTCTATCATAATGTGGTCGCTGCCTCCTAGGGGTTCTTTCACCTTAAACTCCCTAATCAAGCCTGCCTTGTCACACATCACCAAATCAAGAACTGCCTGTTCTCAAGTGGGCTCTACCTTAAGCTGCTCCAAAAAAATCTCAGAGACATTCCACAAATTCCTTTTCTTGAGATCCACTACTAACTTGATTTTCCCAGTCCACCTGTAATTTGAAGTCCCCATGATTACTGGAATAGTGCCTTTCTCATATACGGTGACTATAAAGTCACTATCTCTGAGCCAGAGGAACAGATTACTTAAAAAAAATCTTACAGACTTGAGGAAGGACCTTGTGGTGCAGTGGTAATGACTTACCTCCGATCCGAGAGAACAGGTTGATTAGAAAACATCTTTCAAACTTGAGGGAGTGTCTTGTGGTGCAATAGCAGTAACCTTATCTTTGAGACAGGAGAACTGGTTGACTGGAAAACATCTTACAAGCTTGAGGGACGGCTGTTCCAGTATAGTGGTAAAGACCTTACCTCTGAGCCAGCAGGTGCTGGTTTAGCTCCTTCCTGCTTCAGAGTTGCTTCTTAAAATTTCTGAAAATGTGGTGAGGGAAATGTTTAAAAGTTACCTTCCGAGCACTTTTTCAGGCCCCTCATTTAGTTTTTGCACGATGCATTGCACCAGATGCCATTTTGTAGACAGCATTCGGAGCCAACTTTCTCCAGAAGATATGTCCTCTCTCTTTCTGACAGCTTTTTTTCTGCACTCCAGTAAGCAAGCAGCAGATGAGTGATTGCGGTTTCCTTTGGGAAGACATTGACAGGGTGGTCCTCATCTGGAGACAGGAGTCTTCACCTGGATAAGGTGGTTCTTACCTGTATAGGGTGGTCCTCATCTGGAGAGAGGGGTATTCACCTTTACAGAATATGGTCTTTACCTCACCAGAGTGGTCCTTACTTGGATAAGTCAGCCCTCACCTGGACAGTGTGGTCCTCACCTGTACAGAGGGGTCTTTGCCTGGATAAGGTGGTCTTTACCTGGATAAGGTGGTCCTTACCCATACAGGATGGTGCTTACTCGTACAGGGTGGTCTTTACCTGGATAATGTGGTCCTTACTCATACAAGGTGGTC